TGTGTAGGTATATACCCGAGTGTTATATACTACCCACCCATACCCTCTAGATATTTTTTTATAACAACAAAATATTGGCAATTAGGTACCCTACTTACAAATCATCATTGAACTCCAATTCATGCTCAATTAGGGTCAGCAACTCCAGAACAGTGTCTTTTACTAATCGAGATCTCTTGGAAAAAGTAAGGTTGTCCATTGTATTGAAGTGTTGACTCCTTTGATAAATTTTCCTTGGAAAGCCATAGTCTATTATTTCCGTAAAATTTAAATCATCCTCGAAAATGTCGTAGTCCTCTGCGTTCATTTTGTTCGAAAAATCTCACGAAAATGTTTAAGTTCAAAAAATTTCTAGGTTAGAATTTGTAAGTTAGGAAATGAACCACCAAAACTGACCGTTTAATTTAAACCAGGTATAGACTAATTTAATAGAAGCTTAGGGGACGGTGCAAAGTAATTTTAGAATTTAACTAGCGCTTATCCCTGAACTCAGTTTAACTAAAACGGTGCAAACGGCCATTAATGTTGTCACATTTACTTCACATTTTTGTCAACGGAATTCAGTCCATTTTGAAAGAGCAATTTTAAAAAAATATTGTGTGTAGGACTTATTTGCTATTCCGGAAACAACAAATATTCGTCCTAAAAAACCTTATTTTAGGTACAGGGTCATTTTTTATATTTTCCCAACCCCCTTAACTTTTTTGTGCCACTGTGTATAAAAAAAATTTAAATAGGAAAGTTGTAGTGCTTGAAAAATAGTTCTCAGAAAACATGGTTTTGTTCATACAGGGTGTTGCAAAAAGTTAAAAAAACAAAAATATATATTTTTTTAAATGGGTCACCCTGTATATTATGATATTTCTGGATTTTGCGGAAAATTCTAGACATATTTCATGTATAATGTCATATACCTATCTTCAACTGTTTCGGAAATAATGACAGTAAAAAATTGACTTTTTTGCATCTTTGACAGACTGTAAAACCTAAACGGTTGATTTTACAGCCAAACCGATCATACATGCTTTTCCTATTTTTTTTATAAAATATCATTTGACACCAACTTTGAATTTAATCCATGATTGAAAATTTCTATTAAATTTAATCTCTGGTTAAATTATTCAAAGTTAGTGTCAGATGCTAGCTTATGAAAAGCTGTAGACAAGAATGTAAAATCGGTTTTGCTGTAAAATTAACAGGTTTAGTCAATTTTTTACTGTCATTATTTCCAAAACAGTTCAGGATAGGTATATGCCATATATGAAATATGTCTAGAATTTTCCGCAAAATCCTGAAATGTCATAATATACAGGGTTTCCCATTAAAAAAAAACTATTTTTTAAACTTTTTGCAACACCCTGTATGAACAAAAAAAAAATATACATATAAGCACAAAAAAGTTAAGAGGGGTGGGAAAATGAATGAAATGAAAAAAAAATGACCCTGTACTTGTGACAAAAATAGTATATTGTAGTATTAGGAGTAGAAGCTTTACTTTTTTGTGCTGAAGCGGTAGGTTTGCGAGCCGAGCGTAGTGAGTGCAACACACTATTTTTTCTCCAAACGAATGGGGTAAGCTCGGGGGCGAGTGAATGGTTGAGCGGCAGTAAAAGTACGAGCGGCACTAAAAGTAATTTTTCTGTCGCTGGGGTTGCCAAGCAGCATATAAATTAAATTTCTACTACCTCGACAGGTGTTAACCCACTGGATTTGCCTAGCAGCATGGAAATCAAATTTCTGACATCTTGACAGGGGTTAACAAACTGACGTTTTTCTGACGTTTCGAGAAAAAAGCTATTGTATACCCGTAGCTGTTACTATAATAATCTAATATATAAAATTCTCATGTCACAGTTTTAGTTACCTTCCTCCTCCGAAACGGCTTTACCGATTTTTATGGAATTTTATATATTGGGTAGGTCTGAGAATAGGTCTTAAGCTATTTTTTATACCCCTAAGTGATAAGGGTGGTCCACTCCAAAAATGTTCAATTTTTTTAAATTTCTTACCACTACATAATACAACTTATTTTTGTTTGCGCATTCAACCGACGTAACAGTATTATCCTATAGCATTTTCGGCTCTACTGCTCCCTGTGCGGTGACGTCACAGATCTCTGCGGAAGTGCTCCGAGAGCGATTAGGATCCAAGCGAGGGCACCCTATTTAAAATCAATAGCCGAACGTACTTTAATTGTTTTGTTTTGATCAATCATTGATCTATCGAATTTGACGGAGTAAGGAATAGCGCTCCGTGCTAGATTTGAGAGCGTTTATTGCTCAAGTCGAACGCGTGAATCCGTTTCGGATCGCTTTTTGATCAATCGGGAGCAGTTTTGAGACAAAAGTCGAAAGCGCTATTATTATATATATCTTCTATCGTCAGATTGCGCGGTCCTTTTCTTTCATTACATACCATTCACAATTGCTGTCTAATTTTTGATTGGTTCTTTAAAGTCCTATATATTCATATAGAAAACGCCGCCATTTTGTGCTCTACCTCTTGCTACTTTTAAATATGAATATACAGGGTGAGTTATTAAGCGCGCAGTGGTCCATATTTCCTATACTAACGGAGATCGGAGAAAAAACTAAATACAAAACTTGTAGATAAACATGAGTACTACATTCCTAAATTATTTTCCAGAATACATGGTGGCCCAATAACTAGTAGTGACACAAAGTTATGTTTTTTCAAATGACTCCCCCTGTGTATTATGACATTTCTGTGTTCTGCGGAAAATTCTAGACATATTTCATGTTCAATGTCATATACCTATCTTCAACTGTTCCGGAAATATTGACAGTTGAAAACTGACTTTTTTGCATCTTTAACAGACTATAAAACCTGAACGGTTAATTTGACAAGAAAACGGATTTTACATTCCTATCTTAGTTTTTTAAACTATCATTTGACACCAATCTTGAATTTAACCCATGATTAAAAATTCCGCCTAAATTATTATTCTTTGGTTAAACTCAAATTTGTTGTCAAATGATAGCTTATGAAAATCTAAGATAGGAATGTAAAATCTGTTTTCCTCTAAAATTACCCGTTTAGGTTTCACAGTCTGTCAAAGATGCAAAAAAGTCAATTTTTAACTGTCAATATTTCCGAAACAGTTGAAGATAGGTATATACATGAAATATGTCTAGAATTTTCCGCAGAATCCAGAAATCTCATGATATACAGGGGGAGTCATTTAAAAAAACATAACTTTGTTTTACTACTAGTTATTGGGTCACCCTGTATACTGGAAAATAATTTAGGAATGTAGTACTCATGTTTATCTACAAGTTTTGTATTCAGTTTTTTCTCCGATCTCCGTTAGTATAGGAGATATGAACCACCTCGCGCTTAGTAATTCACCCTGTATAGGATTTAAATGGACGTCCATCATGAAAAATTGAAAACAACGTATTTGATGACTATTATGAGGTACATAAAATAGTTTGTTTTCAATTTTTTTATGATGGATGTCCATTTAAATCCTATATATTTATATTTAAAAGTAGCAAAAGGAGGAAACAAAATGGCGGCGGAAACTCTATTGTCGTCACTGTAGATAAGGCTTATTTAGTCACTGTTGTAATACCATTTGCACTGTAATACCATTCCGTATATGACGCCATCTATGATAAATGATAGAATCCTTCATTTAGTTTTCGATCCCGAAAAGTGGGTGGTACACTTCACAAGAATAATGCCCACAAGGTGCCTAAAAAGGAACGATGTAAAATTTTAATTTTAGGTGATTTCTGATCCAGAGAGTAAACATTAATTTTCTTCAACCAATGCCAAATTTACCATCGAAAAAAACTAAATTTAATTCAGCTACTAGATAGACAACATTTAATAGGTATTAAATAATTCGGAGGCGGTACGAAGTTCGCCGGGTCAGCTAGTAATGATATAATAAATAGTTTATTTCTCGATTATACATTTTGGTGTACAATAAATTCTCTAAGGCCCGGTTTATTCATCTTCAGATAAACTTGCTGGTAACTATCTGCAAGATAAATTTACTGTTCTATAATTCTATTATGTGTCGGGTGTGGGGTGTGGGGTCCTTTTTGAAATCGACTATACTCGTTCGTCGTCGGAACACAGTGCCGTAGAGAACAGGGATGTAGTCAAATATTCTAGTGAAAATTACTCAAATCAACAGAAGATTTTATTGAAAAAAGTAGATTTCATATTGAAGATAGAAGAACAGGTTGAGATTGAAAACAGGAGATCTCCTGTTGAAACAGGTGACATTCGGAAGAAAAGTCCTTTAGGGTTCACAATATATTTATTAGTCAATTACACACGACGCGTTTCGTTGGGTTACGCCATTATCAACGGTGACTAGAAGTGTAAATGAAAACAGGTAGAAATTAACTCAAAAAAAAAATATATATTTGAACGGAACAAAGATAAAATCAAATAAAACTTAAATAAAACGTACTAATAATGACACCTATCTGAAAGAAATACGAATCCCCAAACATAAGAACGCAGTGGTATTTATTCAAATAAACTTTCAATTTTCGCTGACTCTCACCAGGTTCATTCAAAGAATCAACATCATTATCAATTTCCAAATAAGCAATATTCTCAACAAAATTCAATTTTCTACCCCTACTCATGTTATGCATTATCTTAAAATTATTAGGTATTTTTGTCGAAAGAATGTCCAATCTCTCTCAAATGCATTCCAAAGGCTGATCTTTTGTCCTTTGGCGATTTAAGCAAATTTAAATGTTCTTTAACTCTCATTCTAAAACTTCTACCGGTTTATTATTTATCTTTATTTATTATGTTGTTCGAGGTATGCAGAGATATGTTTGGCGGCAGTTATATTTGAATGGCGAGCGGCAATGACATTCAATGAAAAATTCATTAGAATTTTTCCCTTTCCACCTCGAAGAACACGTAGAAAAAAAAAAACACTCAAGCTGTACCTACAGCAAGGTTTCATGATAATATAAATCTCTTTAAATGCTAATAATTTCCAGAATATGCTATCTATAATACAGAATGGCTTACCTTTCGCCCATTCCTTGGAACCAATGCACCAGCAAGCAGTATTGATGGATTATCCATATCAGGTAATGGAAAAAGGCGAATTCAGCAGGGTGCCGGTAATGATGGGAGTTACAACCTTGGAAGCGGCTTCACTAAAAAATGGTAAAGAATTTTTTCAATTACTGAAATCAACATTAGTAGCTTGTTCATATATTGTCTCTCTTTAAAAAAATATTTAAAACTGAGATGAGTTTTTTGGCCATATAGTCCGGGAGGCAGCGGCTTTTTTTTCGAAGAATTTCATCACCGCTGTGATTAATACCGTGCATTGTAGTCACATTCCTAATGACGAAACCGACCATCAGCCAGTCTAGTAGCGGTGGGTGGGCGCATGGGAGGCCGCGGAACTCGTGAAAAAAAAAGTTTTCTAAAGTTATTTCATCCCAGCTGAAATTGTTTACACACATTATTTATAACAATTAGCAACAGAAAAGGACCGTCAGCCGTGCGGCAGAGGGGTGCGTCAGTCGAGCCCGTGAACTTGACAAAAAAATATGAATTTCAAATTATTTCATCTCGCTTCAAATTTTTACACATCATTTCATACATATATAGAAATATAATAATGACCGTCAGCTGCCTGTCTAGTGGGGGTAAGACCGTCAGTCAGGGCGAAAATGTATGAGCGCGCTCATGCAATTATACGACGCGCGGAATTTTCTATCGGCTGACTGACGGCTTTTCCCCCAATGGACAATCAGCTGTCGGTTATTATGATATTTTTATTTGTTGAAACTACAATAATACTTATCAATTTCTAATGAGCTTATTACGATTTACCCATTATACGTTGCATGTAAAATATAGTACCTATTATACAGGGTGGAATTTTTAAATGGAATAAAATTAGTATCAGAAAGCCTGTTTATTTTCTGGAAAAAAAAAACGGGTCCCTTAATTTTTAGTTTGGCACATTTTTTCGACCTTTTCATCCAATTTACCCCCCTGTTAAGGGTAGAAACCACCCCCAACTTTTTTTTTTCAAATGTAAAGATATGTATTGTGATAACTCCTTGGAATGGGCATAAAAAAAGAAATATGACCCATTATTTACTTTTGCATTTCGGTGATCTAGGAAGCGAAAAAAAAATTAAAACATATTTTTTCTACGAGTGTGCGCAAAGTAACTACTTTGCGCACACTTTTGTGTACACAAAAAAGCCCTTTTCCAAAAGTGTGCGCAAACAAAAGTGTGCGCAAAATAACTACTTTGCGCACACTATGCGGTAAAAAAAATTTCCCGCCCACTTTTTTTTCTGGTACCCATAATAAAATCTGGGGACCACCTATTTGGGGGGCAAAGACCTGCGAGAGCCCCATGTTTGGGGGCCGGAGTCCCGTGGGAGCCACTTTCTTGAGGGGCACAGCTTCGCGGGGGCCCCTGTTTAGGGGGCCAAGCCCTGCGAGAACCCTATATTTGGGGGGCGGAGCCCTATATTTGGCTGCGAGGGCCCCATATTTGGGGGGTGGAGCTCCGCGGAAGCCCCTTTTTTGGGGGGCAGAGCCCTGCGGTCCCCCTTTTTTAGGGGACAAAGCCCCGCGGAGAGAGGCCGAATTTTTTTTTTGCCCATTTAGATATACCTAGTAGCCCAGGATTATTAGGAATAAAACACAATTTTTTTTATAACCAGCTAAAAATTGGTATACATGTTCGATTTATTGTCTGAAATAACATGCTAAAACTCCCCGGGCTTCCCCCGCTTGCTTCATGAGATATTGGCTCCCCACTCCCTTGCCCATTCAAGGGCAGGCGCTGCTTTCTGGGTAAGCGTCTCAGCCGGCCTACAGTGACAGTACTGACTACTGACATTCTCCTGTTGGGCACTGTTGGCATTTTTATGTAAAGCAAACGTCATGAAAGCGAACCAAAATGTGTGCACATACATAACAACAGAAAAGTAGGTATTTCAAAACGCAAATTATTCTCAAAGAAATAGTTATTACTTTCAATTTACAAAGGTTCATAGCTCAAGTTCATATAGCAATGTAGGCAATTATTGACATAATAATTATTCTCCCATGTTTTATTAAGCTCTGTCAGAGAATCAGAGAAATGATTTTAGATACATTTCATAAACAAGTTAGTTTCTGATAATGAAGTCGGAACAAATTCAGTAGATATAGAACTGAATTGAGTGGTCCAAGACTGATGATTGTCTAGTATCAACTATAGTTTTCCATAGCTGGTCATATGGTAGTTTATCCAACTTTTTTTTTGTCATTCCTGTCGTGGACCAATCTTGTCTACCTTATATATATAATAAGATAATAATAAGATAAGATATTTTTTCAACAGCATTGGTGTTTTTTTACCAATCTCCTCGTTCGCGAGCCTATCCTTCGAAGAACATCTGCTTCCTATCAAAATAGAGTAGGTATATTATTCCTAGCCAATAGCAGTGGCCTACCCTAATATTTATATAAGTTGATGAATACGTAAGATTTTTTTTTCTCCAGAAAATCACATTAGGTATAGTTTCCATTTTATTGATTGCAAAGAAGTGCTTCCTGAACTTGAGACATAATCTATGTGTTGATCAAATGTTAAATGAGAGTGTTTCATAAAAGTTAAATCCCAAGAATCTTATCGTGATGTCAGAAACGATATTGAAAATACAAAAAGTCAGAACCCAACGTGGACCACTATGCAGAGGTGGTGATCACTATTTCCTGAAGGCCAGAATCCTGTTTCCTTGTCAGAGATAAAGCCGGTATCAGCAAACAAGGAAGAGACAAGAGAAGTTATTGACCGAATACTACTAATATAAATACAATTTCATCATCATAGGCGATCACTCGATAACGAGTATATCTTCTATTCTATTCTTATTGTCGTCGATTGTGAGTTTTCTGATGGAGATATAAACCAATTCTGTAGCCGCACACTCTTCCACAGTCATGGCACATCCAGCCTCTGCTGGTATCGATGCGGCACTCTGCCAAATTCTCCGTGTGAACATCTTTGTAGCGTTTTTGTTGACCTCCTTGAATTCGTTTTCCCTTTTTCTGTAAAGTCGTGGAAGGCGTGTTTCGGGCATGCGGACGAATGAATGTAATGTAATGCTTTACAATAATAAACATTTCTGTTTAATTGATTTCGCTTCATTCAATAAAATGTTTATTTAATAATAATGCAGATTTTTTATTCTCTACATTTAATTTTTCCCCTATCTTTCACATTTGGATTGGTAGCTAGGGCTCTTCTAGTCTAGAGGTTCGAAGTCCAAATCCCTACTCACTAGGACTGCTGATATAAATGTAAGACACGCAGAAACGGTAAAGAAGGGACATCAAAATGTACAGAATAAAAAATCTATTTGAAATTATGTCTACACTCGCGCGCGCTACTCACTAGAACGAATTACAACCACTCAAAGTATAGGGTACGGTTCATTGACGACTGAACGGAAGACTACGATTTCGGCGGTTGTGACGCCACAAGATCCTGCATAATTTATCTTCACAAGGAATTTTCTCGGAGACTATTTTGAATATAGGAATGCGGTTTTCACGAGAGATCTATGATTTTTTTTCTTGATTTAAGCAGTTTAAGTCGTTTTTTAGGGTCACACCCCCTTTAAAAGAATTAGTGTGGCGGTTTTAAGGTAGGGGGGCTTGAGAGGTGAATAATTTTTAGTGAAAAACATTCACACTCAACAAATTAGTTGTCATGCTTCGACAAATTTCACAAATCTACCTATTTACGTTGAATAGCAGTAAGTTTCAAAATAAACACCCTATATAATTCAATATCTCATAATGCAAGCGGGGGAGGGGTGGGGAGTTTTACATGACGACTCAATATTAGACCTAGAATAAGTGTACCAAATTTCAGCTGGTTATAAAACATTTTGTGTTTTTGGCTAATTTTCACCTAATAATCCTGGGCTATAGGTAGTTACAACAATTTTTTTTTGATGCCTATAGACATTAAAACTTTAGAAAGGAAGTATAGTTATTTCACTCGTAGAAAAAATATTGTTCCTAACACGTGCGCTGCGCAAAGTAGTTTTCCCGCACTTAAAGCTTATCCGAACTCCGCTTCGCGTCGTTCGTCTAACTGCTTTTGCATGCGAGAAAACATAACTTTGCGCACTGATTAGGAAAACTACTATTTCCAAACAATTTTTTTACAGTCAAAATTGTTGAATATCTTCAGCATTTCTTCTTGGTAGAAACCTAATGCGAAATAAGCCCCATTTGTAACGTTATGTAATTATTTCTGACGTTAACACACTATTTGATGCCTGATACTCGGATTCTCAACCCTAAAATAGTGCGTTAATGTCAAAAATAATTAAATAACTATATCACCAAAATGCAAAAGTAAATAATGGGTCATATTCCTTTTTTTAGGCCAATCCAACGAGCTTTCAGAATACTTTATCTTTACATTTGAAAAAAAAAAGTTGGGGGTGGTTTCTACCCTTAACAGAGAGGGTAAATTCCATGAAAAGGCCGAAAAAATTTGCCAAACTAAAAATAAAGGGACTCGTTTTTTTTTATTTTTCCAGAAAATAAACAGGCTTTCTGATACTAATTTTATTCCATTTAAAAATTCCACCCTGTATATAGTCACCGCTATATAATATAACCAAATATATATACTGGGTGTTTCAGAAATGGTGTTACAAACTTCAAGGGCAGATAGTATTCATGAAAATAATTTAAAAAGTTCCTATGGATATAGGTCCGGAAACGCTTTGTGTCCAAGATACAGGGTGATACATTTTTCAAAAAAAATAGTTTTTTATTAATAGTCCAAAAGAGCTTTGGCCGATTTCAATGAAATTTTCCCGGTTTATTTCAACCATTATCAGACATCTACTGGACCAATTAGATTTGATCCAGAATTCCCAGGGGCGTACCCAGCGACCAAGTCGGTAGTTTTTGTGCAGAAAAAAATATCACTCTGTAGTTTTTGTACGATTTTTATTGATTATTCAGACAGACACACTAAAAATACAATATTTTTGTCTCCTAAATTTTTCAATTATCTCGCTTCGTTTTCTCGGAAAAATTACAATACCATACCTCGGCACGTCTCTGGACTCCATAAAGAAAGATAAAAATTCATAGGAATTAAGGTACATCACCCATTCATTGAGCGACAAGGACATAAATTCCATGTTAGGTTTTTTTTTTGTTTTGTTTTCATAAATCAACAAACTCCGATAAATTTTTAATCAATTCCTAAGCATTTTTATTTTTTCTTATGGAGTTCAGAGACATGCCGAGGTATGGTATTGTAATTTTTCCGCGAAAACAAAGCAAGATAATTGAAAAATTTAAAAGACCAAAATGTTGTATTTTTAGTGTATCTATCTGAATAATCAATAAAAATCATACAAAAACTACAGACTGATATTTTTTTCTGCACAAAAACAAGCGACTTGGTCGCTGGGTACGCCCCTGGGAATTCTGGATCAAATCTAATTAGTCCAGTAGATGTCTGATAATGGTTGAAATAAACCGTGAAAATTTTATTGAAATCGGCCGAAGCTCTTTTGGACTATTAATAAAAAAGTATTTTTTTTTTGAAAAATGTATCACCCTGTATCTTTGAAACAAAGCGTTTCTGGACCTATATCCATAGGAACTTTTTTAATTATTTTCATGAATACTATCTGCCCTTGAAGTTTGTAACACCATTTCTGAAACACCTGTATATATTTGGTTATATTATATAGCGGAGACTATATATAATACTATATTTTACATGCAACGTATAATGGGTAAATCGTAATAAGCTCATTTGAAATTGATAAGTATTGTAGTTTCAACAAATAGAAATATTATAATAACCGTCTGCTGATTGTCTATTGGGGGAAAAGCCGTCAGTCAGCGGATAGAAAATTTCGCGCGTCGTATAATTGCATGAGTGCTCATACATTTTCGCCCTGACTGACGGTCTTACCCTCACTAGACAGGCAGCTGACGGTCATTATTATATTTCTATATATGTATGAAATCATGTGTAAAAATTTCAAGCGAGATGAAATAATTTGAAATTCATATTTTTTTGTCAAGTTCACGCGCTCGACTGACGCACCATCCCCCCTCTGCCGCACGGCTGACGGTCTTTTTCTGTTGCTAATTGTTATAAATAATGTGTGTAAACAATTTCAGCTGAGATGAAATAACTTTAGAAAACTTTTTTTTTCACGAGTTCCGCAGCCTCCCACCCGCCCACCCACCGATGGTATTGAGGCTGACGGTCGGTTTCGTCATTAGGAATGTGACTACAACGTACCATATTAATCTCAGCCGTGATGAAATTCCTCGAAAAAAAAGCCGCTGCCTCCCGGACTAATAGTATTTGCATCAAAATTTTTTCCAAAAAAATATCTTCAAAATGACAAAATACAATGATCAGGAAGTTTAAAACAATTTTTGTTGTTACAACTTTCCTTTACAATGATTTTTTCAACATTTTCTACCTTTTTATTGTTTTTTGCAATAATTATTATTATGTATATATTTGTATTTCAGTTGTCCGTTTGATAAAGCCTCTACTGGTAATTTTTAACCTCAGTCCAGGTTTAATGGTCAGATTTACTAGAGATCATAAAAATAGAACCATTGTAGCAAACAAAATTAAACAATTCTTTTTCAATACCACTGATATGCTTGAAGTAGATGAATTGGATTTGTTAAAGGTAAAAACTATCTAAACTCAAGTTAAACTATTTCAAATTCGCTTTGGTGAATTTTAAGTCACTGATAAAGCAGGTGATGTTTTCCTCGAAGTAAACAAGGCAAAACATGCATCTTGTGCTGTGTCGAAGATAAGGAGTCAAAGGATATCATTATCCAAGTCAAAATTTGTTGAAATACTAGCTAAATATCCTTATTTGGAGGGTTCTGTGCTTTGAGTTGAGAAATAAAATGCACAGCATGCACGTTTTTGACATGCAGAATATAATCGTTTATTTCTGGAACTGAACCAACTACACATTTGACATTATATAAATGGTGCCATCGAGTATATTCTCAAATAACTACAAGTCATACATAAATTATAGACAACATTATGTATATTGTATACTTTACAAAATTTAATTGAAAAATACTTTCAAATTGGTATTTAATAAACAACTACCAACCAAGAATCAGTGACTTATAAAAGCCAAGTCTAACATACCGATTATTTTTGCAATTCATTTTCAGTATTTATCGGATGATGCTTATTATCGTCCAATGAGGAAGGCCGCTTCTCTGATCTCAAAACACAATCCTGTTTATTTTTATCAATTTTCCTATAAAGGACAACTTGCTATAGAGTTAATGAGGAAGCTTGTGGGAATGGAAGATTTCATTCGGGACTTTGATGGTAGAAATATTTCTTTAGTTTCAAGTTTACTAACATACTTTATTAGGTCAAATTAATGAAAACTTGAAATAAATTTTATTTCTGAATGTTATTTAAACTTTTAATCAATATGTTGTAGGTGTCGCTCATACAGAGGATATTGCTTACCTGTTCAGAAGCAAACTTTTCGAACCAAAATATTTCAAAAAAGAAATGAAAATTATAAAGAAAATGACCAAGATTTACACGAATTTCGCGAAATATGGGTAATTAAGATTCTTTGCTATCCTTAGGAATTATGTTTCCTTTATTTAGAAATCCAACTCCAATTCAAGATACACTCCTGGATAATGTGACGTGGCCTAGAGTAACATCTGCTGATGGACAATTATTTCCATACATAGATCTAGGTGAACGTTTCAAAAACGTCGTTTCGACAAATTTTGACGAAGAGAATTTCCAATTTTGGAATCATGTATTTCAAGAGTATGCTGATGAACCATATATTACTTATTAGATTAGTATTATTTTCATACTTATTAACAATAGCACTTTTGCAACATACTTAGATCTAGACACAAAGAATATAGTGAGGTCCCTGAAATGAGTTTTTTTTCTCCTTTTTCCTCCGTTACAGGACGTGAATAGTAAATTACAGTACACGTGGAAAAACTCGAAATTTCGGAAAACGGTGAAGTGACACACAAGTGATTCAATTTTTCTCTGAATGCCGTATAGCGTTTTGTTTAATCCTGCTGCTAAAACTTTAAAAAATAAATTTAAAGTTTTAAAATCTGTGGTTAATTATGTACACAATTATATTACTGACTACTTTCCTTATTGTTAAAAAAAAACTTTTGCTAGAGGCGAACCGCAATACCAGTTGATCCTCAATCAAGGGTATTTGTCAGTGGTTGAATGAAGGCTGTGTTATCTATTAATATCTCAATTTTTTTGTCATGATAAACTTTTTTCATTTATTTTTGTTTCAGACAGGTTAGTAAACTTTCCAGTATTTCTTTGATGATCTTCCATTTTTTTTTCTTGTTAACGAACTTTCTCTTAGCCTTACGAATGAAATTCTAATTTTGTTAATGTGCTGGAATTAGCCACTGGTAGTACAGGAGTCATGGTTTCTGTAGGATAAATATTATCAAAATTTTCTTGCACCGAGTTATTCACTATATAACGATTATACTATTCGGTTTTAGGTTTGGAATTAATGCACTCTAAAACCACACTTCAAAAATATTTGAGTCCATATTTTTATAATAATCCGCACTACAATCATCTAGCTTTTTGCCACACAGGTTAAGTCTATTTTCTGCCCAACCACACTGTAAAATTTCCATTCTGGATCTTCTGTTTAGAGTTGAATCTTTTAGATGATACCTTCCAGTCCCAGCAGTCCAACCCTATTTGACAGTATCATAGGTGTCATACCAAGTCTCGCCTAAATAATAAATTTGCCTACCTTCATTTCTATTCTTCAATTTTTTTCCAAATATTCAATTCGCCACTTCACAATTCTTTCACATTCCACTAATGCAATTGTAGAGTGGGAAAGAACTCTTGTGCTGTTGTTGAGCATTTCCAAAAAACAGGACATCAGTTTAATTTCAACGAGGTAAAAATTTTAAGAAAAGAAAATAACTATTAAAGTCGCCTTTTTTTGGAAATGTGTTATATTCAAAAAACAGAACATTCATTAAATAATAAATCTGATACTAACCAATTAAGTAACATCTATTGTAATATTTTAAACCTAATTCAATAATTGACTATTGTAAACATTATATGGAACGTTCATATTCTTAGATCATACCACAATAACCAGTTGAAATTTTAATTTTTCGGTAGACTTTGACTGACAATTTCGTTGCAAAAAATTTTTCTCTAAAAAAAAAAAGACATCAATAGTTATTTAAGTATTAAGGGCGGTAAGTGTCGTTTACCGCCCGAGATTGTTTGAAGACCGACGCGTAGCGGAGGTCTTCAATATTCGAGGGCGGTTAACGACACTTAACGCCCAAAATACTTATTACGTTTTATGCACGATCGGGCTATTCCAGTTCAAAAACTTAATTTATAGAATGGCATCCAATTGACATTTTCAAAAATAGAATTGTCTTCCTCCTATAAAGGCGCGTTCCCAATGAAAAATTGGCAACTTTTGTATTTGCAACGCTTCCAAAAATCACAACTCTTATTTCCATGGTTATCCACCACCGCACATTATCTATAACAATTATTATTATTATTATAGTTGGCTGGACTACTTGTTTCTAATGGTTGGTATGGTTGTTATGGTGCTTCTCAAATTGTTTATTTGTGTTAGTTACGCAAAACTCGCTTTCAAACAATACGGTTGCAAGCTGCAAATACGCTTTTTTGAAATTTAAGGAGAAATATGAGTGAAAATAGTGATAGTGAACTGGAAAATGCTTGGAATATTGGTTGTGACGCTGTGATTCCGGAAAAATCAAGGCAACGGTACGAAAAAACCTTTGAAATCTTTAAGAAGTGGTGCGTTGACAAAAACTGGGCTGTTTCGGAGAAAGTGCTTTTGGCATACTTTGTACACCGAAATCAGAAGTTAAAATCACCTGGAAGCTTATGGGCTGAGTATTCCATGCTGAAGGCGACACTTTTTCTGAAGGAAAATGTTGACATTTCGAAATACGCAACTTTAATTGCCTTTCTGAAAAGAAAAAACGTTGGCCATACACCGAAAAAATCTAAAGTTTTCACAAAGGAGGATTTATACAGGTTTCTAATGGAGGCACCAGATGATAGATACTTGATTTTGAAAGTGAGTTAATTTACCTGTGTTTTTAACAATGCAAAGAATTAATTTGTTGTTTTTTCGTAGATAGGCATGATATTTGGTGTAGCTGGAGCATGCAGAAGGGAGGAATTATGTAATTTGACTCTACAAGACATAGATAATCAGGAAACGTTCATTTTTGTTAAAATACCCAATACAAAAACCAATATTCAAAGGAGTTTCACCATCACTGGTAAAGAAGACCAGCGAGTGGATTATTTGGAGATTTGTAGGAAATATATCGAACTACGACAAAAAACCGCAAAATCAAACAAGTTATTCTTAAAAATTCGAAACGGCTTTTGCACTAATCAAGTTGTAGGAAAGAATACCATAGGAAAATGGCCAGCACAAATTGCCACATTTTTAAATTTGCAAAATCCTTCTCAATACACTGGACATGCTTTTCGCAGAACTTCTGCGACGCTTCTTGCAAATAGCGGCGTAGAAGTATTAGCTCTCAAAAGACATGGAGGTTGGAAATCCTCGACGGTTGCTGAGGGTTATATCGAGGACTCCATAGAGAGCAAATTGAAATTCGCAGACCAAATTTTACACCAAACTCCTTCAACAAGTGGTAAGACTTCGATCCAAACAACATCCAGACAACTAAACGATGAACCTCATCCTGTTTCTCTGATAAATGATACAGAAAATACGGTTGTTCTTGATAAGCACATAAGAAAAGGAGGTGTTGTGATAGATAATTCACATAACTGTATATTTAATTTGTATGTTAACAAAAAATAATAATATTTAAATTCTATTAATATTAAACCTATGTACTATAGTTGTTGAGGTGCATAATAAATTATAATTCTTGTTTTATTTCTATTTCCATAGTTGACAACACGGATTAAATTGAACTAGTGGCCTCCACCAATATTCGAGAGTGTTTGATGACACGAAAATAGCGGGCGGTAAGTTCAACTTACCGCCCGCTCGTGCATAAAATCTATTAAAAATAGGAAAATACAAAAATCTAGACTAGCTCTGTGTTGTAAGTAACATTTAATTTATTTATAATTTTTGTTCCTTATTTTATTATTGTACAATTCATTTTAAACTGCCATTTCTGATATTTATACCAACATATTTTTATTCATTATTTTTCTTGTAGTTTCTCCTGATGAAGTCTAAAATATAAGACGAAATATTGAGTATAAAAATAAATGAGTTTCACTAGTCCAGACCGCTACCCGATATCCTCTCCAAATTATTTAATTAGTACGGTCGATAACTTATTTTCATTTTATTATATATATATATAGATTTATTTTAATAATTCAAAGAAAGATATATGTCAGATTCTAAGGAAGAAATCGAGAATCTCTCAACTCAATTTAATTTAACTCATCTTCACAATTCTGATTCAAGAATTACCCAAAATCAAAGACCAACAGTAACAATGAGTAAAAATTTAAAATCAAACGTTCAACTGATCAAACCTTTCAGTGGCGAAAGCCAGTATTTAGAATATTTCATAAGAATCATGAAACATTATGCCCAGAAAGAATATGTGGTTACCGCCATAAAATCTAAATTAATAAATGATGCGGGAAATTTTCTTAGGGTACGTCCTGATTTACAAACATGGACCGATATAAGAAAATCGTTGAGAATTTAGTATGGTGATCAATATTCTAGACGGAATTTGGTACAAGAGCTTATTCAAAATCTAGTCACTAATTCGTCCACAGAATTAAAAACAATTTTAATGGTTCAAAATCCACAAACGTTGGATGCAGCTAACAAATTTGTGTTAAATCACCAACTAGCTGAAAACCTCATGAAATTTAGTAGCGGAGTTAATCATTTTACTAAAAATGCGCATTTTCGTTCACAACGAACGTATACTTAACAAAAACCTCAATACACACAAAAAACACCCTATGTATTACAGAAACCACAGTTTCCATCACAACCTATAAACATAACACCTCAAAAGGACTATGTGCCCTACTAATTCTGGAACTTTTGGCAAAAATTAATGCCTTTTGAAAAAACACATATTATCAATTTTCGGAACTGACACCTTTGTCTGGAGTTTCAGTGCAACAACGAGCACAAAATCAACATCAATACAGACTCAATAACTATTTCAAACCTGACCCAAATGCAGGACCTTCAAGATATACAATCGAAGAGAATAATAATATCTTTGAAATCGAATTACCTGACCCTGATGAAAATTTCGAAACTGAAGAATGTTCCGAAAATCAAAATTATTATGAAGAGACAAATTTTGAAGAAAATCAAGTCGAAACTGATGACGAAAATTTTCAGTTACCAGCATTAACTTTAAATGCTTATCAAATCAACTAACTACCTTTTATTCAAATAGACTGTCCACCATGTAAATTATTAATTGACACAGGAAGTCATGCCTCTTTGATAAGACGCTCAATAGCAGGAGAATATTTTTCAAATACTATAATTAATTCACGAAACAAATTAACAACTTGTATGGGTACAAGAACGACCCAAGGAAAAATTAATGTCCTAATTTTACAAGAATATAATATTCAAAACAACATTGAAATGATAATGTATAATTTCCATGAAAATAGTCATGGATGGAATTATTGGAATCAAAACATTACAAAATAGCTATTTATACAATAAGTTACGAAATGAGCGTCTTTTAGGCACGCGACGTGAAAATTGTCCAACGAGGCAAAGCCGAGTTGGACAACACGTCGAGTGACTAAAAGACATCGTTTCGTAACGTATTGTATACAAGATTTTTTCTACTGGCATTTTATAATAAAAAAAT